GCCGAGCAGCTCCTGCAGGTACTTGATGTAGCGGATGGTGGCGCGCAGCGTCTCCACCTTGCTGAGCCGCTTCTCGGCCAGCGCGCCGGGGAGGTGGCCGCGGAGGCGCGCGTAGCCCTCGTTGACGCACTTGACGCGCTGGCGCTCGCGCTCGTTGCGCTTCTGGATGAAGGCGGGCTCGAAGGGGTAGTCGTACACCCCGAAGGCGCCGGGGAGGGGCACGTAGGGGAGCACGCCCGCGTAGGGGTCGTAGTAGGGCGACTCCGCGTGGCCCGGGTACAGCAGGAAGGGCACGTTGCCCAGGGGCTCGGCGGGGGACAGGGGCGCCTGCCGGGGGGGCGCCACGACGCCCAGCTGCACGCAGCTCGGGGGTCCCACGGGCCTGCAGTCCACCAGGGCCCGGCAGAAGTTACTGTTCATGGTGCCGCGTGGAGCTGGACCCGGAGCGAGACCCGCACCAAACGGCCCCTGCTCGGGGTCTGCGCGGCGCTGACCACGAGGACAAGTCTCATCGCCAGCAGCGGCTCTGGGTACCAGGACGGCTAGGGCCTCTTTCCACCCTGTGGGGTGGCTTCCAAGAACTTCCTACCGCGAGCCATCTCTGGAGAAGTGTGGCCCCTCGCAGAGGCTCGGGGGGCACCTTCTCAAATCCAGCCCGTGGTGCTGCGGGACTTCGAGGGCCCTGGCCTCCTCCACGGCGCCCATGGGCAGGCGGGGCAACAGATCTAAGTCCCCGACGACTCCCGCAGCCCGGTGTGGGCACCTCCCCGGGCGCTATCCCTGCATCTCCATGCGGGGGCTGGGGTGGGGTGGGGGATGCCCGGCGCCTGGTTCTTATTCCTCGCGGGCCTTCGGGGTCCCCAGGCCGTCGTGGGGGCCCCAACGGACGGCTCGTGTTAGGAGAACGCCAGCTCAGCAGAGGGGGTCTCCGGGGACCGTTTCTAAAGAGGAGAGTGAAAGTATCAATCAGGAAAGGCCTGTTTTATAGGCTCCTTTGTTTCTCCCCCACCCTCAAATGGGACTGTAAGCATCGTAAGCGACGAGGTGTGGCTCCCGAAGAGGAGCGGGTTGGGATTTAAACCCTGTGTGCACCCCTGAGTAGGTGGGTGACCTCCTTGAGTTGTGGTTTCCATCTATGGAACCCATGAAAACGTCCTTCACAGGAGATTAATCAAATATGAAAATCGTCCCTGATCCCTTTCAGTGTTTCACATCTAAAAGGGGCTCAGCGTCTACGGCCATAGCGCCCTGAATGCACCCTATCTCGTCCAAAAGGGGCTCAGCGACGCCTATTGAATCAGCAGCAAGAATGCCAGCTTCAAACACTAGTCAACCACCGGATCTAACTCTTGTTGAAGGAAATGCATCTTTGGTTAAAAAACTCAAGTGTTGTGGGGACTTTTATAGCCCTCTGCCTGGCAGATAATCAACAAAGCCTTCCCTGCCCCAGTCCACGTGGGTGCAGGGTACACCCTCTCACACCATCCTGGGTGTCCCTTCATGGCACGAAACAAATGTCTGTTCTTTCACCTCTGTATGCCTAGATGCCCCATAAATACGGGTTGAATAACCGAGAGAGAGGATCAGGCAGAAAACAGGGTTTGTCAGGGTGGGACTAAATTACATGGACCCTTTCCTGGGCTTTTGGAAGGTGTTATTTTGGAAATAATTGGTCTGTGTTGAGATTAAGTGCCACCAAGCCTCATTACATGTGATGATTAAAAAGGAGGACAGGAAGAGGAAGAAGAAATGGAAAGAAAGAAAAAAACACATGGTTATCAGATCCAAATCAGGTGTCATTTCTTCTGGGAAGACTGTCTGATCCCACTCCCCCCTTGTGTGTGTGTCCACGGTGTCCTGTAAATGCCATCTGAGCACTTATTGCACTACTCTGCTACTGTTCCTCTCTTCATGGAAGATGCTCAGGGTTTGCTGAATGAGTGAGTGAGCGGGCGCTGCATCCCACAAGGAGAGAGGTGGGGCAGCCTGAGGCCAGGGCACTGGGCAGGGCTTCTCCAAGAGACAGAAAGGGGGAGGTCGGTGGCAAACTCAGATTCCCATGAGTGCCTCCTTCTGCATCCTTTCACTTTGGTCATTTGTGCTGGCCCTGAGTCTGTTCCCAGCTAGCTTCGTCCTCCATGCTGAACCAAGAAAAATCAACATTGATTCCTAAGCATCAAAGAGACATGGATATGCTCGCAAAAGTGGGAGCCAGTGTATGAGACATGAGGAGAAATTCTCATATCCCTGCCCTTCTCAACAGACTTTGAGGGCTCTCTGTTGCTTTTAAGAGAAGGTTCTAGGGCCGGCCCGTGGATCGCTTGGGAGACCATGGTGCTGACAACACCAAGGCAAGGGTTAAGATCCCCTTACCGGTCATCTTTAAAAAAAAAAAGAGAGAGAGAGAGAGAGAAGGTTCTAGAAAATCTTCTCTTCCAAACAGACCCTCGGCCCCATCAGGACATTCTCCTCCTGATACTCTTTGCTTATTCCTGACTTCACACCTTGGCTTACACAGATTCTGGTCTGGGGGTCCTCTTCACACCTCTCTTCTTTACCTAATCCTGCCATCCTTTAGGGGAGTGCTCAGATTCCAACTTCCGCCCTGACTGCATGAACTTTCCAGTTTCCAACATGGGCTTTCAAGGCTGTGCATTCTGAGTCTTCAACCAGATTGTAAGCAACCATCGGACAGGGGCTAGGTCCTTTCTTTCTCAGGTGGTGTCCCTCAGTCCCTTGCTCAGTGCTAGGCACATAATGGTTACTCAAAATTATTTGCTAGCAGTGCTCTTCTTTTGTAAAAATTTGGGATCCAGACTGGACTCTTTCATGTGATCTCTATCTATCCATATCTGACTTAATTATTTAAATTTAATTTGATAGCAGTCAGAATTTTATTTATATCTAATGACAATTTTAATAAATATCACTTAATATCTGTTCAGGTTGATTCAATATTAATAACTTATTTATCTTCCTCACATAATATTTACATTTTTGCATAATACTATTCAGAAAAGTGACTCAAACAAGAAACCTCACAGCTGGACCATGTCTTTCTTGAACCAGTTCTGTCTTTACTGTTAGAAAAGAACTAATGACCTGCCAGGAAGCACAGGTGAGAACACACCTGCAGGTGCAATGTTTTCTACTTCTGTCACCGAATCCTCTACCCCATACAGAAGCTGAGGGACACAGTGCAGCACATTACCATTAAGTGGCATGATATTAACCAATAAAAATGTACTGAGTGCCTTCTATATACAGGGACTGCTCTAGGTACTGGCGTAGAACAATAAACAAACATTGTAGTGGAATAATAATCATAGCTATCATTTATTTATGATGTGTAAGACACTGTGCTAAGTGGTTTATATGAATCAGCTCATTTAATTTTCACGTCATTCATGTGAGGTAAGTGCTAATATTATCCAGTTTTACAGATACAGATGCCTAAAGGTTAAGTCACTTGCCCAAGTTCCCATAGTTATAACTAATAAATGCTAATTAGATCAAGGGTTTTGATCCCTGTACCTGCCAGCTACCAAAAAAAAAAAAAAAAAAAAAATAAAGAAAGAAAGAAAGAAAAAGAAAAAATACTAATCGACCATACCCAGCTTTCTCCACCATATCTGACTTAATTATTTAAATTTAATTTGATAGCAGTCAGAATTTTATTTATATCTAATGACAATTTTAATAAATACCACTTAATATCTGTTCAGGTTGATTCAATATTAATAACTTATTTATCTTCCTCACATAATATTTACATTTTTGCATAATACTATTCAGAAAAGTGACTCAAACAAGAAACCTCACAGCTGGACCATGTCTTTCTTGAACCAGTTCTGTCTTTACTGTTAGAAAAGAACTAATGACCTGCCAGGAAGCACAGGTGAGAACACACCTGCAGGTGCAATGTTTTCTACTTCTGTCACCGAATCCTCTACCCCATACAGAAGCTGAGGGACACAGTGCAGCACATTACCATTAAGTGGCATGATATTAACCAATAAAAATGTACTGAGTGCCTTCTATATACAGGGACTGCTCTAGGTACTGGCGTAGAACAATAAACAAACATTGTAGTGGAATAATAATCATAGCTATCATTTATTTATGATGTGTAAGACACTGTGCTAAGTGGTTTATATGAATCAGCTCATTTAATTTTCACGTCATTCATGTGAGGTAAGTGCTAATATTATCCAGTTTTACAGATACAGATGCCTAAAGGTTAAGTCACTTGCCCAAGTTCCCATAGTTATAACTAATAAATGCTAATTAGATCAAGGGTTTTGATCCCTGTACCTGCCAGCTACCAAAAAAAAAAAAAAAAAAAAATAAAGAAAGAAAGAAAGAAAAAGAAAAAATACTAATCGACCATACCCAGCTTTCTCCAGGTATTTTTCCTAGTGACTTTACATCTGATCAAAGGATCAGAGAGGTTTACACTAACCTAACAAAAGGATCTTACTAAATTTTGATTCCTGTTGGAGGGAATGTCCCAATACAAATTAAAGTTATAGTGCTGTTATTTAGCTTCTGCGCTGGTGAGGGAGCAGGTCACCTTGGTGGTCCTTGGGAAGGCAACATCCCCTTGAAGATGTTCTTAGAAGGGTGGCCCATGGAGTCCTGTTGCTGGGAAGACGAGAATTGGGGTGTAATCTGACTGAGTCAAGCACGAGGGGATGTACCCCCGGGAGCCTGATGAGGAGCCCTCTTGCCCGAGCTTAGAAAACCTGAGCAGAGAAGTCTTGGCAGGATCTGTCCGCAGCAGGGAACCGACCCACGGCTCAGTTCACTGGACTGGGCAGATCCGGTTGTCGACAGCGCCACAGTGTGGTGGTGAGAAGCAACGGCAGTAGCAGAGTGATGAAATTCCAGGTCCTGACCCCGTGGGTGTGGAAGTTGTAACTCCCTGTTACGACCCCGTTGGGGAATGTGAGTCCCCAAGTGTTTTGGAAGATTCAGGGTAAGAGAGTGCCCCCTATGAAGAACTACTGGGTTTTATGTCAACATCTACTAATTTTCTCCCTGAGTTTGTGAAGCCATCAGCATCACAAACTTTCATTGTATACAGATACATAAAATATGTACAATTAAATGTATTTTTGTTCTTTGTTTTGAATAAAAAATAGTACATTATATCAGTGTTAGGCAAACACTAGATAAAAGCGTGGCTCTGAAACAGTGTATAGAGGCTTTCCGTCCAAACGTGTTAGCCCCGATGGTGGTTATTGAAATAATCTGGTTGGATTAACCCATGGATTGCCTTAAGTAGCTGCAGAGTACTAACTGCAGCCAACGCTGTCCCCTTTTTAAGGGGCTCTGGTTCCTCTCTGGGACTGGGGCACTCCTTGCCCCCGGCATCCTGCGTTCCTCACCAGCTCTGCTCTGCTCTAGCCTGCTTAGTC